AATCTTGCATTCAATTCTTCCTTTAAAGTCTGTTGTACGAAAAACGTGATGTGTCGATCATATAGTAAAATCAGTAAGTGTGAAATCCTGTCTGACTGATATTCGTCTATCCTACATTGACGCGCTAGTGATCTTTTATATAATAAAAGGCTACTTCTAACAGAACAAACACGAGAAATTTGCTTTGTTGAAATTACAAATTTTTCTACTATATTGAGAAGAGTTATGTCTTTTTAAAAAATTACTTAGCCATCCACCTGGTGCTTTAAAATCTTGAAAATCTAACAATTCTGCAAACGTATTACTTTTGATTGTAATACAGAACCAGTGATAGTTAAATTTGCTTTAAGCGTTTGTGTTGTCCAAAGAATCAATGCATCTTCTAGACTTGAATATTTTCCTTTGCGTAAACGTTTATTATGTGAATTGGGATCTTCTGGATTAATACCAAGATATTCTGACTTTTCGTTTCAATATGTCACAAACAGTATTTTCACGAACTTTAAAACGAATAGCAAGGCCTCTATTCGTTGTAGTAGGTTTCGATTGTTTTAGAACACATATTCAGTGTATTTTTCATTTTTAATTTTAGGGAACAATACGTACTACCACTACTGTAAATCATTTATAAAATTAAGTGAAGTTTCCTTCGATAGACCGATATTATTCGTCTTATCGAGTTATAAGTTTACTATATATGGAACCGTATGAAAACATCGTCTTAAACATTAAAGTGAAACAATAAAAAATCTTCGTCTTGTTGAGTTGATTTTATTATAAATGAATTGGTAACTAGAAAAACTTCATTATAACAAAAATTCGTTTTATCGAGTTCCGTCTTATCGAGTTCCGACTGTAGTAGTGACCATGTTTATTTGTTTTCTGCAAGTAATCCACTTGTAGATAGATTTTGAGTATGATTTAGATAATCATGAATGTCATTTTTCATTTGTTCATCAGTAATCTCATTAACCAAAGAATCGACAATTTCAAATTCTTGACATTTGTCCAATTCAAAAGTTCTAAAACAACCCCATTTGTAGGATCTGGCAAAATTTGTTTTTTAAATTATGAATAGTAGTAGTTTTTTATTTTTTATATGGGGGTCCTTAATTTGCCCCAAATTTTATTTATTTTTCTAAAATCAGCAGCATGATTGCGCGTTTCTATAAAAATATTTAATAATTTATTTAGTCTTTAAAAATTAAGCTAATTATTCTATAAAGATTTGGCAAATATTAAATTAATTATTAATAATATTAAAAATAAAAAATAAATAAATAAATAATAATGTTGTTGTTGTAAATGACTCATCATCAACTCTATTAATCATCAAGAATCATATGATAATTCATAATTAGTTAATGGTAAAGCTTTGAGTGGATGTGGTACTAAAGCACATGAAATATTGCCCCACCATTTATCACAATTTTCTTTATACCATGTGACTTTTTAATTTTTTATTGATAAAAAAATATTAATATTAATTAATAAATAATGAAAATATATTTATTTATTCATTCTCCACTAAAAAAAAACTTACTAGTCTTTTTTAATCCTTCTTCCCAACCAATACGTGGTTTCCAACCAAGTTCTTTCAATTTACGATAATCAACAGCGTATCTTCTATCATTGAAGGCACGATCTTGTACAAATTCCAAATATTTATCATCTTTATAACCAAATTGTCTTATCAATGTTTTTGCTAAATCCAAATTGGAAATTTCAAAATTTGATCCTATATTGTAAACTTCTCCAATTTGTCCTAAATGTAAAATTATGTCTAACGCATCAGCTACATCACTAGCATAAAGGTATTTACGTGAATTAGACCCATCACCATGTATGTAACTTATATGTTCATAAGGAAGGAGAGCATATATAAATATACAAGTAAGAAAGTAACATATAATATAATAGATTAAAAACAAATGAATAATATATTTACCATTTTACACCTTTTATTAGGCTACAAATAAATTTTGAACAAATTTTTTCAGGATATTGATAAGGACCATAAATATTATTACTTCTTGTTATTATAATGGGTAAACCAAATGATTTATGATAAGCTTTAACAAGACATTCTGCTGCAGCTTTTGTTGCAGAATATGGGTTTGATGGTGCTAGTATAGATTCTTCATGACAATCGGGCTAATAATCATACAGATTAATGATAAATGAATATTAATGTGAAATAAATAAACAATATCAATACTATTACTATTAATGACATAATAAATTCCTTACACTGCTTTTGGCTACTTCACCATAAACTTCATCGGTACTGACATGGATGAACCTTTTTATACCATGGACCTTGGCAGCTTCTAACATTACATGAGTTCCCATAACATTATTTTTTGTAAATTCAAATGAATCACCAAATGAATTGTCAACATGTGTTTGAGCTGCCAAGTGAAATATTGTGTCTATTTTCTTTTCTCTAAGAATAAATGTCATGAAATCTGATGATGTAATATCTCCCTTAATAATAAAATAAAGTATTCCACTATTTTAGAATTAATTAGACAAATATTTGGAATATTCCATGAAAATATCAACTAGGTACCTTAATAAATGTGTAATTTGGCATTCCTTTAATAACTTTTAAATTATTTAAACTGCCGCAATAATCTAATTTATCTACTACTACAACATTATATTCTGGATAAAGAACCACAAGTTTACGTACTAAAAAACATCCACTAAATAATAATAATAGTAATGATAAACATATTATAATGTATATAGGATTTTTAATATGTGTTTATATAGCTTACATGAACCCTGCTCCACCTGTAACCATAATATTTTTAATTTGAGGATTTGTTGGTTCTATTCTAATTCCAATATCTTCGATATCAAAACCAGGGATCTTATTAATTATTTCTCGCACTTTAGGATCCACCATATTATTATTATTATTATTATTATTATTACTACTATTATCATTATTATTATCATCATCATTATCATTATTATTATTATAATTATTATTATTAAATTGTTTTATGTAATGGCTTGCATTGCCATTTGTGCTGTTGGCGTTGTTGTTGATAACATTTTGGTTTTTAAGATTAATAATAGTTGATGAGTTATTTATTGTAGTTGACGGCGTTGCTATAGTTGTTGCAGTCGATTGAAATTGTAATCCATTTTTTTGGTATGATGTCGAAATTCCTTCACGCATAATATTATAATATTATAATAATTTCAAAAGAGTGTATTTCTAAAAAAAAAAATATAATTTAAAATAAATTTGTGTTTCTTACCATTTCAAGAATTATTTGCAAATGAGGAAAAAAAAGAAAAACAGTTACCAAAAATGCACTAACATAATATAAATAAACTATTTGTCACGCAAATTGTAAAAGAAAAAGAAGAAAAAATTTTGATTTCATTAATTCAAATTTGTGATAAATAGAAACGGTGATTGTGACATTTTGCATAAAAAATTGAACATCAATTACATGCAATGCTAAAATACTGACCTATATCATACGATTATAGCTCAACAAAGGTAAGAATTATTATTTTTTAAAGTTTTTCTATCAAAATTCTAACTGTATTACAAGATTATCTGAATATACCACCAATAACCGTGAGCGACCAAAATAGATTTTTTGCAGAAACACGTTCCGAAATGAAAAAATATTGGTTTTATTAAGCACACATCTTTTATATAGTTTCGAAAATTTTAATAAATATATAGATAGTAATAGGTATGTATGAAAAAATCCTTTATGTAGGGATGAGAAAGCCCTGGGACCGGACCGGTCCCGACCAGTCCCAATTTAAAGTTTGGGACCACGGGATCATCCAATAAAAATTAGCTATTTTTTTCATTTGAATTTTATTATCGTTATCATTATAATTATAATTATTTAATATTTGGGCATACTGCAACAAAACCAGACAAAGTGAACATTGGTGTTATCAATGATTTCAGGGATCAAAACTTAGTCATTTGTAATGTGATCATAATTAATATCCCATTTGTTACCAAGTGATATATAACAGGGTTGGCAAATGTGTGATCCATTGGTGTAACACTTTAACCATATTTAGTATTTTATTAATGGCAATGGACCAGTCCAAAATCCAACTGTTCTCAATGGACCAGTCAATTTGCCAACCCTGATATATAGAAATATTCCTATATAAAAATAATTAATATGAAACTAATTTACATTAGGTCTACCATGGAACCCAAGAATTACAGCACCATTAGAAGTATTTTAAAAAAGGAACAAGGTGAAAAAATTGCACCCTATATTTTCAAAATAAATAATACTCAGACACTGGAAGCTTATCTAAGAAAAGAAGGAATTAATTATGAAATTTACCAAGAAGAAAGAAAAATAATAAGTGTTAGGAAAAGAAAACATCATGATGGTGCATTATTACCCAACAAAAAGTCAAGATCTCTAGAAGAAAAATAATAGGAACAAATTTATAATTTATTTTATCTTTTCCTTTTTGGCATTTTCTCAATAATACTAATGTTCCACCAACCATGATTTAAAGGTTTTTCTTTCATGATTGAACACTTATTTTTTTTTTAATTCTGTTATTTCACCATTTTTATTTTCCAATAGTTATTCCATTCGGCATATCTGTTCTTTCTTGAAATTTAATAGAAGGACCTTTATTAATTATTCAAAGATACAGTACTTGGACAAAAGTTTCGGAACACTTGTTTTTGTTAATTGCGCAAAAATGTACATAATAAACATATATGAAATTTATATAATTTGCGATTTAGGTCCTTATGAATATCTATACAAAATCCCATGTGTCTAGGTTCCGTAGAACTCGAATAAATACATAAAAATGAAATTCGATTAAATTTTGGCAATCAAAAATTTTTCACATGATGTTTTTAGAAATTGTCCAAGAACCTACATAATAATATGTTTTGGAAATTTTGTATATGAAAACCCAAGTTTTGCTGATTCTGAAGAAGTAATTTTTATCGCATATTTTTTAAGATCTTTTTTTTTAAAAAAAGATCTTAAAAAGTTTTCAAAATTTTAAATTTCAAAAAAAATAAAAAATGTCTAATTTAACTGAAGCTCAATGTGGACAAATAGTTGGCCTTTATAAAAGTGGAGCCTCATATAGAAGTATTTCTAAAATACTTGGCTTTCCCACCACAACAGTATGTCGTACCGTGAAGAATTTTCAAGAAAGAGATAGTATGGCAGATTTACCAAGAAGTGGACGTCCAAAAATTTTAAATACTGACCATCGACAAGCATTAAAAAATATTGTTAAACATAACAACTGTAAATCAGCTGAACAGATAAAGAACCATTTTAATCAGGAAACTGGTTTACATGTTTCTACAAAAACTATTAGAAGAAGTTTACACAGAATCAACATATTTGCTTGTGTTCCTGCTTCTAAACCTTTGATTAATGAGCAACAAAGAATAAAACATTTGAATTGGTGCCTAGGAAAAAAAGATTGGAGTGTAAGAAAGTGGAAGAATATCATTTGGAGTGATGAGAGTAGGTTTACAATATTTAAGAATGATGGTCCGGGATTATACATGCAGCCCAAATTGGTTTGGTGATTTTGATGGTCAAAATTATTCCAATTTTGATGGTAGAAAGTAGAAATTAATTACGGCATTCACTATTAAAAACATAAGTGTAACACCCCTTTACTACATGTGTAACCCCCTTTATGACAGTGTCAAAATACTTTGGGCTGCATGTATATCCGGGATATGTCTGGAGAACACCTGGAACCAGATTCAATATTGAAAATCTTAGACCAACAGTAAAACATGGTGGTGGTGGCATAATGATGTGGGGTTGTTTTTCGGGTAAAGGATTAGGACCACTGGTAAAAGTTGATGGCAAAATGAACCGACATGATTATATTCAAGTACTGGAAACAAATTTGCTGTTCTTAATTGATAAGGATTTTAATGGGCATGGGTATTCATTTCAAGATGATAATGCTCCTGTTCATACTGCTAAAGATGTTCAAGAGTGGTTGAAAACAAATGAAATTAAAATATTGAAAAATTGGCCAAGCCAATCTCCAGATCTAAACCCTATTGAGCATCTTTGGCATGTGCTAGAAACACGTATTAGAAGTCGTCCTAACAATCTAAGAAATCTTAAAGAACTTGAGGCTGCTTTAAAAGAGGAATGGAATAAAATTCCTCAAAATGTTTTAATGAATTTGATTGAAAGCATGCCTAGAAGAATTCAGGCTTGTATAAAGAGCAAAGGATACCCAACTAAATATTAAAAGTAGTTAAAATTTTAAATTAAAATTATTACATAGAATTTGAGTAATAAAATAAAATATTTCGCATCAGAAATTTAGTGATCTTCAAAGAATATTTTTTAATCGAATTTCATTTTTATATATTTATTCGAGTTCTACGGAACCTAGATGCATGGGGTTTTGCATAGATATTTACAAGAACCTAAACCGCAAATGATATAAATTTCATATATGTTTATTATGTACATTTTTGCGCAATTAACAAAAACAAGTGTTCCGAAACTTTTGTCCAGGTACTGTATATGTTAAATGCTGTGAATTATTTTCATTAATAGTAATAGTTTTTCAAGGAATTTGTCTCAATTTTTAAAGAATTTAATGAGAAACAAAAAGATATTGTTTACTTGTAAGTATCTAAACTTATCCAATTTGATTTTTCTTTCACATGAGTAGAATGTTAAATATTTCCATTGCATAGCTGTACAAAAGATGATATAATGGATATAAGAGGTGGTAGTGATTTCGCAAATTATTAAACTGATCCGTTAGACCCAGGGTTGGCCAATGTGTGGTCCATTGATGGTCTATTGGTGGTCCATTGAGTCCATTAGTGTAATACTTTAACCATATTTTGTATTTTATTAATGGCAATGGACCAGTCAAAAATCCATCTGTTCTTAATGGACCAGTCAATTTCCCAACCCTGGTTAGACCTAAAAAACAAGCAGTTTTACCAAAAAGTTGGGCATCGGTTATAAATGATTATTATATGGTAAGCATTGAAAAAGATTATTATTTTTACCCATTATAACTAGGTTTCAAAGCAACATTTACAAATATTAATCACATTTTATAGAACTTTAAAAATGAAGTAAAAAAATCACTTATAGATTGGAGTAATTTAACCGATGATTTGATTATGACAAAAGATGAAGATACTGAAACAAGACAAATTAAAAAATATCCATATGAAGTAATGTCACCTATGTAAGTATTGGTTATTTGAAAGATGATTTCTTCTATTGACTAATGTTAAACCTTTCATCTTGTGTTGTAGAATTAAATCATTCACTAAACCTATTCCATTTATCACTGCAACAAACACCAGTGAGCACCATTACTGGTCTGAGTTCACCCATAGATTCTTTTCCAGAGCATTGGAGGGTTTTGCAGGACTTGATTGATGCATGTAAGTATTGAATTTGATAAGAACATTTACTATTATGTTTGGTTGCATGAGTTAGTTAATATCTCTTTTTTTCAGCATGGAGGTTCCAGTGTTTGCATCCAAATTATACATGCAGCCCAAATTGGTTTGGTGATTTTGATGGTCAAATTTTGATGGTAGAAAGTAGAAATTAATTACGGCATTCACTATTAAAAACATAAGTGTAACACCCCTTTACTACAT